TTCCCAGCTTGTGCCACTGAAACAGCCACTTGGCATGCCATCAGACTGGCTGCTAGGGGACCGCGGGAAACACGATCTGTGACTGCATCGATGCTACCTGACATCATCAGCCAAGGACTGCTCGGGAGTGTGCAAAAAACGGCAGGTGCAAAACGGCAACATGAAATTGGTGCTCAAAGCATTGGTGTTGATTGGTGTGTATTTCCCGCATACTCCATGCACATGTCAACTGCAGCAGCAGCAGGCATGGTTTTGCCACAAAGCCACCAGAAAAGCAGCCAACGCACTTTGCATGGCTTCTTCTTCGCTCAAGGTTGAAGCTTCTCAACGAGATCACCTGCAGCAAGCCGAAAGACTGCTGATACATCAGCGTGGTACGACATAGCGACCTTCCAAGCCAGCATTAAACAATCCTAAATGCTGCATTCCATCGTCTCGCATGCCAATGCCAGGCCTTCAGCGGCGCGCTGGCGCTCGGCTTCGTACTCCGCGTCCCGCAGGATCTGGCCATGAAGGTCAAAGATGTCAGGTGAAAGGCTTTGGTTCAAGTGCTACAGGGCGGAACACATCCCAGCTCATGCGACACCTCCCTCGAAGTCTTGCAGCATCTGCAGCCCCGACTGCTTGGCCCACGCAGAGCTACCCTGCAACATTGTACCCTAAATCCCCAACGCTAAAATGAACCCAAGCCCACCTAAATACTGTATGACCTCTGAAAACCCTAGACTTTAGACATATAGATGTATATGCTTAATTATACATGTATATATATATATATCATACACCTATACATTCATGCATAACCCTGGACCCAATTACTCGAACAGGCTTGCAGCAGGCTAACTCAGCGTAACACACTCCCGTCCTCCGCAGCTTGCTTTACAGCGATTCTTATCGGCCTGGCAGATGGATGCCCGGGATGTATGTAGGCCTTTGGGGCCTGAATAACTGGACAACGGCTTTGGGGAGCATACTTGAAGGCACGGTGAGGAAAAAACATCTGTTAACTATTCCGATCCTGCGAGCGAGAGGACAGAAGTCTCGCGGCAGTATGTCTGCCCCCTTTGTGCACCTTTCTTTCACTAAGCTCCTCCACGTCAACCCCACATGAACGGTACAAACTGCAAAAAAAAACGTTTCTTTTATAAGCCCCAAACCCCTACAAACCCCAAATTATAAGCCCTAAACACCTACAAAGCCCAAAGAAGGCTGGATCGGGATGGGGCCTCAGCTTTGCCCAATACCAGCGGCCATAGTCCACGAAGAGCTCCTTCCCAGCAGCCCAGAATCAGACCCGGAGTCCCTGAAACCCACGGGTTTAGGTTTTAGGGTGTAGGGTTTAGGGGTTAGGGGTTAGGGTTTAGGGGTTAGGGTTTAGGGTTTAGGATTTAGGGTTTAGGATTTAGGGGTTCAGGGTTAGCGTCGGATGGCTGCAATGCTAGAACATGAATCAAGGGACTAAAGGAAGACCCTTAAAGGGACCCTTGGGGTCATATAGGGGGTTTATGAGACTATATAAGGGGTATGTAAGGGTTATATAGGGTATTGTTAAATGAAATTGCATTCTTCTAGATGCAAAAACAGTATGTCAGTTCGCTTCTTGAATAGTTACACAGAGTAAAGTGCCTTAATAACTTAAGTTGGCTTATTTATTAACGAATCCTAACGTACATATGCTTTGATGTGGTATGTATATTATATATATATACATACATAAATACAGATACACACATATGCCTACATTATGCTTGTTTGTTTGCTATCGTTAGTTTGGTACTTTGCATGTATATTGATGTTTATGGTTGCATCTATGTTTACATTTCAATTTTGCCCTCCTATCAACTGTTGTGCGAGTAACTACTCATGAATGTCTGATACCAGGTGTGGCCCCCGAAATAGCCGAAACCTAGTTCAACACCCTTAACCCAAGACTTGTGGAATAGCCAGCTAACGCATGAAGAATCTAATTTTCCTGCCTCTCCAGCAGAGATCGGCCGGCAGGCCACCACCAAAGCTCGCCCCTCTCCAGGTCGCTTTTCGAAGGATACATTGTAGACCTCGCTGCTGGCGGTTTAGGATGGGCTAGGGGGGGAGCAGGGTTTCTGCGGGCTTGGTGGAATTAAGGGTATGGGTAGCAGGCTTCGGGATCTTAGCAGCCGGAACTGTGTTGCAGGAAGCTTTGACCTCTAGTTTGCTAGACTTGCCAACTCGTTTCTTCCAGGCTCAGGGAGGGTCGGCTTAAGCGAGAGTGAGGAAGGATCTTTCAAGTCTGCGCCCAGAGACCTACTTGGCAAAACCATATCAAAACAATGTGGAGCACATGTCATGCCAGCACCGAGGTCCCGGCAGCGGGATTTCGACAGTCGTTGATGTACCGGGCAACCAGGGATGTGTCTTCACGCGCATCGATGTACTCCTCGCAGCATGGGCAGTGACGAAGTCTCCACACTCCAAGCAACTGCCGCCACAGGAGAGAGTGATTTTGAGATTCGCCATGTTAATACAGCCCTTCAGCGGGAACCACCGACGTGAATGCAGAAACGCACGGAGATAAACAACAGGCTGACATGCACGGCCACATTTGTGT